ATTTAATAAATAATGAAGTGTTTAGGACAGTACTTGACATGTGGAAGGTGGCATGTGGCAATTGTTATTAGCAATAATTATAACAGTTATGACTATTGGGTTGTTGAGTGACTGTACACAAAGCTAACTAATCATGGCTGTGGTGACTCCTACAGCGTTGGTCAGCATCCAGGAGTCCCGTGTCTTTCCCATACCTCCTCCGCTTGCCCATATTTGGAAGTCCAATGAAAAGCCCTGAATTTATTCTCACTTGGTAATTTTCAAGATGTTGGTTAGAGAAGGTGGGGTGACTGTCGCTACCGCTGTGATCTGTTGAGTAGCCTTGTCTGTTGAGTCGCTTGGGTAAAGTGTCAGACATTTCTCATTAAACTGACAGGTGAGAAGAAGCCACGTAAGGACAGATTCCTACTGGCAAGGAACTCTTACCAAGCTGGAACACATCAAAGCTAACAACAGTGCTGATATCTGCAGAGACAAAACCATCTTAAACCTGGTCCTTTGGGCCGGAGAGATGGCTCAGCAGTTAAGAGCACTTGTTCTTGTGAAGGATCTGAGCGATTCCCAGCACTCATATGGCAGCTCAGACCCATATCTGTAACTCCAGTTCCAGGGCATCTGATGCCCTCTCTGGCTTCCTTGGGCACCAGGCACATTCATGGTGCACAGACACACATGCCAGCAAACATGCACATAAAGTAAAAATAAATAAATCTTTTTTTTTAAAAAAAAAGAAATAAATTGATTTACATTGATGTTGTTTTTTTGTATTGTTTATAGTTTAAGACTCTTTTCATAACAGCGGCCCCTCGTTCTGTGTTTATATTGTTTGGCTGGTTTTAGACCTCCTCGTTCTTTGTGGTAGCTTTAATTTCTCTCCATATTTTTGCAGTGTTGGGAAATGAACCCCGGCCTCCTGCCTGCTAAGGGTTTGCCTTGCCTCTGAGCGAAGCTCCCGACCACTTCCTTCGACACTGTCTGCTCTGCTCTGATTCACTGCCTTGCGTCTTTTCTCGGGTCTTCTTTTTTAGAACAGAAATGTCAGCGGTGCAGCCCCTGAGATCGTCTGGATTCTGAACTGTCTTTTTGCTGCTTAGCCAGAGCATGATGCTTTGTTCCCTTTCTTAGAACTCAGTTGCTGGGAAGCCCTGTGTTCCAGACAGGAAGTCTCAGGTCAGGTCGAGTGATTCCTCCTGGGTTCCCATTCCTTTTCTCAGGAGGGTTCTTATTCTCTTATTTATGGATTTCAGAATGGCTTTCGTGTTTTGTTTTCCTTTTCTTTCAACAGCTACCATTAAATAACACCCATACACACATATTTGTGTTTGTTTCTGATCATCCATCCTGAGGGTATATTCCTGTCTGTCTGTCTGTCCCTCCCTCCTTCACGCCCTCCCTCACACCCTCCTTCCTTTGTTTCCTGGGCTGAAAATGAATCTGTAGTCAAGGCTGGCCTGACACTAAGTAGGCCAGGCTGGCCTTGAACTGGTGGTGAGCCACCTGCTCCAGCCCCTCACCCCCACCAAGTACTAGGATTACGAGCATGACCCCCCATACCTGGTTTGCTCTTTCTCTCTCAAAACTAGCTCATTCCTAAAACGTGCTGCCCGCTTAAACTGTGCAGTACCCTGGTGGTTCTTAGAGTTCCACAATATCACCGCTGATTTTTGAAGATCTTCCATCTTCCCACCAAAGCCTGTTAGCTCCCCACTTCCCATGGACCAAGGCAACCAGATGGCCCTCCTTTGTCTTTGTAGTTTGCCTCTTGTGGAGACTGCTTTTGAACGTGGTCACAGTCCTCCTCCCTTTATTATCTCGGTGTTCTGAGATAGTTCTGGCACTTGTATCAAAGACTGCCTTTCCTACCAGCTACAGGCTTGTCTTTCTTCCTGGAGATGGGGCCAGGGTTGCAGTAGGTGCCCTGTACTGAGACATGGAGAGCTTGGATTGGCAAACCTGATTTCCAGTAGTGGCCTCTCTATTGTTTAATGCCATTTTGAGTTTCTATTTTTGGCATTCACAGTTTGTTTTCAATTTGTAAGATTTCATTGTATTCCTAGAAATTCCCCCTTGAGAATTGATGTATTATTTTCTTAATGGCACTTATTTGAGCTCTTCATGCATTCAGGGAATTTTGATTGTTACTGTTGCCACCCAAAGATCCCCTCGAGTTTAGTGGCTTTAAAGAGCAATTTATAGGTGGAGGAAAAGGTTCCTGGGTAAGGTGGAGGCTGGGGTTCAGATCCCCAGGTCCAAGTAAAGCCAGATGTGGTAACACATGGTAGCGGTAATGTCATTCTCTCGTGGTGAGTTGGGAGGTGGAGACTGAAGGATCCCTGTGGGCTTCTGAGCCAGCTAGCCTGGTGTATACAGCACTGGACAGCAAGCGGAAGGCAAGGATGGGTATCTGAGGTTGTTCTCTGGCCCAGCTGCATGCCATGGTGTGTGTATGCCTGCCCTCACACACATGAACATGTATACATATGTTTGCGTGTGCGTGCACATGCACACACTGAACAATTGGGTATTTCCCACAATTTCCGGTTTGGTCATATGATTCTTTTTATATCTGCTATGGACTGAATGATTACACTGAACTGGTGGCTTTGCTGACAGACAAAAGGAGGCCTTTAATATATTAGAACTCCAAACTGACAACTGGCTTGGTTGCTTTGGTTCTCCGCATGGCTTCTCCATCCCCATAGCAATTCCTCTTCAGGGATCTTCCTTGAGGCTTCTCCTAAGCATAATAGCTTAGACTTTCTTACAGCATAGCCACAAAATTCCAAGGAAAAGAAAAAGGAAGCTAGGCTTTTATAGACCATGTGTGGTGGTTTGAAAGAAAATAGCCCCCGAAGAAATGGCACTAATGGGAGGCATGGCCTTGTTGGAGTAGGTGTGGTCTTGTAGGAGGAAGTGTGTCATCGTAGAGGTGGGCTTTGAGGGCTCATATATGCTCAAGCTATGCCCAATGAGACAGTCCACTTCCTGTTGCTTTCTGATCAAGATGTAGCCAGCACCATATCTGCCTGCATGCCACCACGCTCCCTGCTATGTGGATAATGGACTGAATGAACCTCTGAAACTATAAGTGAGCCACCTCTTGTAAACCTTTAATTTTTTTTTCTTCAATTTTTGAGACAGGATCTCATTATGTACTCTTGTCTAGCCTGGAATTCACTTTGTAGACCAGGCTAGTCTCAAATTCATAGAGATCTACTGTGCCTCTGCCTCCTGAAAACTGGGTTTAAAGGTGTGTGACACTATGTTTGGATTTTTAAAATTTACTTATTGTAATTTCTCTCTCTCCCTCTGTGTGTGTGTGTGCGTGTGTGTGTGTGCACACCTGCATTTGTGTGCACCATGTATATGTAGTGCCAACCAAGAGCATCTTTGGATCCTCTGGAACTGCTTACAGCATTTGTGAGCCACCTGATATGGATGCTAGGAACTAAGCCCAGGTCCTCTGCAAGAGCCGAAAGCGTCCTTAACCACTTCCTAGTCTCTCCAGCACTAATTTTTGGTTTTTTAACACAGGATCTTGCATTCTAGTTAGTCCAAGCTGGCCTCAAACTTACAAGGTTCCTGCCGCAGTCTCCCGAGTACTGGGGTTACAGGCACTCACCACCATGTCCACCTCATTTTAGACATAAGCTCAGTTTGAAAGTATCCTTAATTTACAGGAACTGCATTGTCTGTTGTTATTTCTTTGCTTTCTGTTTGCTTGTTTGTAGGGCTGTAGGATTTACCCTGTTCTCGTGCACACTAGGGAAAGGCTTTACCACTGGGCTGCTTGCTACCCTCCACCTGGTTTTACTTGAGACAGAAGCTCATTTCACAGCCCAGGCTCTGCCTCAAACTCATGCCCCTCACACCTTGGCTCCTCACATGCTAGAATTGTAAGTGTGTACTGCATGTATGCCTGGTGCCTATGGAAATCAGAAGACAGCGTTGAATCCCTGGGACTGGAGTTAGAGATGGTTGTGAGCCACCATGTGGGTTTTGGAAACTGAAGAACCCAGGTCCTCTGGAAGAGCAGCCAGTGCTCTTGACTGCTGGGCCATCTCTCCAGCCCTAGTTTTTTTAATTTTTAAAATTACTTTTTTTTAATGTAATGTAATATGTGTGTGTGTGTGTGTGTGTGTGTGTGCATATACATGTATATATGTGAGTCTGAGATCAACACTGAGTGTCTTCCCCAGGTATTCTTCACCTTGCTTTTGAGACAGGGTCTTTCACCAAACCTGGAGCTAATGATTTGCTAGACTGATAGGTCAGCAACACCCATTGATCCTTCTGTCTTATTTTCTGGGGCTGGGATTATCGGTCTCCTGATATACCTGACTTTTATGTGGGTGCTGGGGGCTGAACTTGGTTCTTTATGCTTGTGTGGCAAGGACTTGACTTATGGGTTTCTTTGCCATTAAGAGCTTTGTTGATTGTGTGCTAGGCATTGAGACAAGGACCTTATTTACGTGGGGCAGGCATTTTACCACTGAGCTATATCCTGAACCCTCTAATATTTTTTGTTTGTTTGTTTGTTTGTTTTTGGAGTTCCATTTGAGGGAATTTTTTTTTTTAAGAATTCTTCTCTTTGTTTGTTTTTTGAGATAGGGTTTCTCTGTGTAGTTTTGGAGCCTGTCCTGGAATGCACTCTGTAGACCAGGCTGGCCTCGAACTCACAGAGATCTGCCTGCCTCTCGAGTGCTGGGATTAAAGGCATGTGCCACCACCGCCCGGCTCTTTTTTTTTTTTTTTTTTAATTCTCAACACACTGAGAAGTGTTTATAATTGAACATTTCCTATGCTTTCAGTGTCTTTGGTATGAAGAATTTACACACAGAACCTATAAGGAGCAAAATAAAATTTGAATCCAATGACAAACAAGCGCATGCATTCGTGCATTATTGGTATTGATGGACAATGTGAAACAGTGGCCACCACGATTTTCTTCAGTCTTTCCTGTTTTTCTCCCCTTTTTCTATTTTGGGATGGGTCTCCAGATGTAAATGAGTGTGAAGTTCCTGGCCTGTGCCGTCATGGAGGTCAGTGTATCAACACTCCTGGGAGCTTTGAATGCTACTGCATGCAAGGATACGTGGCAAAGGGCGGCCCCGAGCCCTTCCAGCCGAGCAGGGACGGCACATCCTGCACAGGTAGGCATCTGCCAGAGAGGCAGCATCGGGAGGTGAGACGTGGTGGGCATCATTTTCTCGTCTTCCGACGTTTATGGATCTGCATTGGAGACGCGAGGAGACATCATCTTCACATATTTTTATGAAATGAAACAAACGACCTCATCAAGATAGAAAGAGTCATTCTTGTTAAGGAAAAAAAAAACCTAAACAGTCAACTTCAAGGGTTTATAAACTTTAGCAATTCATGGATATTTTGGTATTAACTCTTGCCTGTTATGTCTGGTAAGAACCTAATATCTCAACTGTGACCTTGAAAGTTAAGAAAGTACACTGAATTTAAGGGAGTTTGCCTCAGATTTTTACTTCATTGGGCAAGGCATCTCATTAGTGAGCATGAGTCGGGGCTGATAGCTCATGCCTTCTGCTTTGTGTAGATGCTGTTGTATTTCGGAGGGCCGGAAGAGCAGTAAGGACAATCGCTGGAAATGCACTCAAAGCCTCAGGGAAATGGATCAGTGTTTTTCTTAAAATAGGGCGTGGGGGTGTGAGGCACGGGTGTGGGTGGAGAGATGGCGGATTCTGAAAACGTGCCTTCGTAAAGAAGTCGACGTGGTTTTGTGTTTTAGAAATAGACTGTGGCTCCCCTCCTGAAGTCCCTGGTGGCTACATCACAGGGAATTACAGCTCCACGCTGGGCGGTCAGGTCCGGTACAGCTGCAAAGAGGGGTTTCTCAGCGTCTCGGGAGATGGAGTTTCACGCTGCACGGCCCTGGGCACGTGGGAATCTCCGAAGTTACGTTGCCAAGGTGGGTTTTCAAAAGCCTTAGCCTCCTGGATACAGTGTCCTGAGGTTGCTTTCTTTCAGTTTTCTTTTGGGATAGTAAACGTGTTAGATAAATCCAACACATTGTATTTGTTTCCGGTACGCTTTTACTTGGGTCTCTAGTATTTCCAGGGTCTGTATCTTGTCTGAAAACAACGGCCCTACCTTTTGTTTGTCTGCATTTATAAAATTCTAGTTTTTATTATGTAGTCTTGACTAATGTTTCCAGAATGAAAACCTAAATAGTGGGGTTAACATTGAATGTTTTAGTCTTATTCCGACTTGTATGGAAATGATTTTGGTGTTTCAACATGAATTCAGCTTTTTTTTTTAAAAAAAAAATGTAAAGCTACCTTTATTTCTGTGTGTATGTATGTTTGCGTGTGTGTATGTGCGTGTATGTGTACACATAGCACAATGTGTGTGTGTAGAGGTCCGAAGACAACTTGATGGAATCAGATTTCTCCTTCCGTCATGTGCGTCCCAGGGATCAACTAATGCCGTCAGGCTTGGAAATAGGCGCCTTTTACCCACTGAGCCACGTCACTAGCCACGATCTCAGCTCTTTGATGTGGGTATCTATGTATCCACTGCATATGGCACTATGTGCCAAGTACATTCTAAACAAAGCCCCCGACATTGGCTCATTTAGTCTTTAGAAGGTTCCTGTGCACAGACGAGCAGGCTGCGCTCTCCAGGCACAAGGAGGTTAAGGCCACACAACCAGGGGTGGAACTGGAAGTTGGAGCCTGAGAAGCCAGCTTCAGAGTCTGTGTTTTCAGTCACTTTGTTACTCACTTTTCTGTTTACTACTGTGATTGTTTTCGTTCTTTTTACTTTTTCTGTTTCCAACAGTTTCCATTTTAACGGTTCTTGGGTTTCCATATAATCTTAAGGAAGTATCCATCCATGTTCCTTTTGCTATTTTTTAATCAGACAGTAGCTATTTTTATGTCTTTTAAGCATGGATCCAAAGGTGACTACATGCATTTTCTTTTAATTCATAATGTGAGTTTCACTAATATTCTGATAATGATTAGTATTGTTGGAATGAATTATTTTGAGGCGTTGGCCTCTTATTTTAGTGAGGATCATATTTGCTAACTATTACTTAGAATTTTTCACTGATACTCAAAGGGTGCCATTTCTGTTATATTTAGTATCAGTGGCATTCTGAATTTCAAAATACCAAAGCATTTTTTTCTTCCTTGTTCTATAGAATTTTTAGAGATTTGGGAGATTCCATTTGGAAAGCCATCTGGATGTGACACTTTTGGGCACAATTTAGCCCCTGAAGTGTTTTAAAAGTTCCAATCCAAAGGATCACGTCTGTGGGCAGCAATCCTGAGTGATCTTTATGTCCTATTTACTTTCTAGATGGAAGGGACTTTTGATATACCAAAAAAAAAAAAAAAGAGTAATTGTCATAGTCAATATTGATTGTCAATTGACAGGGTCTAGAGTCACCAAGGAGACAAGTCTGGGCATGTCTGTGAAGGATTTTCCTAGGTTAGGGTAACTGAAGTGAGAGGACTCACCTTAACTCTAGGGAACACATTCCATAGGCTGGGATGTATTAAAAAAGAGAAGACTCATTGAGCACAAATGTCCATCCCTCTCTCCTTTCTGGCTGTGGATACAGTGTGAGCAGCTGGTCCCTTCTGCTACCCTGCCTTCTGCTGGATAGACTGTATCCCTTCAAACCGCGAGACAAAATAAACTCTCTCTTTCCTTGGGTTGCTTTGTCAGGAATTTTTCTCACAGCAAGAGAAGTATCTAATTTAGCAATGATGGGCAAAGGGACATCTCGATTTTCATTGACTCCATTGCACAACTAAGAAGTAGTGTTGTATGGGACTAAGTTAACCTTGCTGCTGTTCTACTTGTCGGGGTTTTAAACACGTGTAGACACTTTATTACCATCCTCAGAGTTAAGAAGTTCTAAGGGTACATTTTAGTCCTCAGATTATCTTTCAATGGATCAATTAAGATCATACACTTGGAATCAAATGTACTTTAGCAACAAAGGAGGCAGTCAGCTGAGGGAAGAGAACATACAGATGGAGAGAATTTACAGATGATTTACAGAAAGAGTTACAAATTATTTATCCAACAAGGTTTTAGTATCTAGAATATATAAGGAATTTGAAACAGTAGAAAAAATAATTCAGTTACTGAATAGGCAAATTGGGGCTGGAGAGAATGACTCAGCAGTTAAGCCTGAACTGCTCTCACAAAGGACCCGAGTTCAGTTCCCAGCATCCACATGAAGTGTTGTCACGGTAGCCTACCGTAACTTTAGCTCCAGGGAATCCACATACGTGCACAGACACACACCCATGTACATAATGATAATACAATAAACAGTTTTAAAAGAACGAGCCAATGATCTGAGTAGACCTTCCTCAAAAGAGTACATGCAGCTCTGTGGAAAAAAAATTCAGTATCACTAATCATCAGAGAAATGCAAACCGATTTCCACAGTCCTGCCGTCTTATCCCATTATCCAGCCATTATCCAAAAGACAAAAGATAATTCCGCATGCAGGGAGGGTGAGGAAGGTGGGAAACGCTTGATGGGAATGTCAATTAGTGCAGTCATTCTAGAAAACACTAAGGAGGTTCCTCAGAAACTACAAATAGAACGACTAGACGGGCTAGCTACCCCACTGCTGGGCATGCGCCCAAAGGAAATGACTCAGCGAATGAAAGAGACACCTGCATGTGCATTCCTAACACAACCACCGCCCCCAACAAGGAGTCAAGATGTCATCAGTATTGGCATCCATCAGTGAAAGAACAGAGTTACATATTCATATATACATCAGACTATGACACAGCTATAAGAAGATGGGAATCTTGTCATTCGTACCAACATGAATAGGACAGGAGGAGGTTGTTAAAGGAAACGAGCCAAGCACAGAAAGCCAAACACTCCACGATCTTCCTTACATCTTGAATCTGAAAAGTTGATCTTGAGCCAGTGAGATGGTTCAGAAGGTAATACTGCTTACCACCGAGCCAGACGACCTGAGCTTGGTCCCCAAGATCCATATGGTAGAAGGAGAGAGCCTACTCCTGCAAGTATTCTTTTGACTTCCACATGGTTGTCATGACTCACACCTATACACCCACCAATACACCTGTAAACACACACCTATACACACACAGACACCTACCCATACACCTATATACACACATACCTACCTACCTACCTACCTACACACACACACACACACACACACAGAGCCTTGACATAAAAAAGTTTAAGATTAAACCAGGCTTGCTGGCATATGCTTTTAAACCCAGCAGAGCCAGGAGATTGACATGTAAGACAGCCAGGGCTATGGAAAGAGATCCTGCCTCAAAACAAATAAACAAAAATCAAAACTTAATATTAAAACAACATAAAGTTCTTCTCCTAGAAGTAGAAACTAAGCGGTGGTCTTTGGAGACTGGGAAGAGTTCTAGAAGTTCCACGGGACACCATCTTCTCTGTTCTTTGAAGCAGAATCTCTCACTTGTTTTCTTTCTTCAGAACTACTTGTTTTTGTTTTTTTTTTAAAGTATAATATTGTAATTAATACTTTGGGAATTTCATGCAATGCATTAATTATATTCACCTCCCCACTCCTCTTCCTAATTCCACCCGGGCCCACCCCTTCCCTCCTGACTCCATTCTGATTTCAGTCCTCTTTTTCAAAACAAGCCACTGAATCCAGTTTGTGCTGCTCACGTACGTGGATGCGGGCCATTCCTTGAGGGGTGGTTAGAACACCAGGGGCCACACCCTTACAGAGTCTTCCTCTCCCAGGGGCTGTCAGCTGTCCACAGCGTCTCAGGGGTGGAGCTCCATGGACCTCTTCCTGCACAGTGCTAGAATGTTGTCTGGTTTGATCTCCTGCAAGTTGTGCGCTGGCAGCCACAGCTGCTGTGACTTCCTGTACAGTGGTGTGCAGATCCTGTTGTGTCCAGAAGACACTATTTTTCTCAAGTTTTCATGCTTTCTGCCTCCCTTTCTGTTCTGTTTCTGAGCCTTGGGGTGGGGAGAGCGTGGAATGTGTGGCGTTCACTCGGTGCATGTGGCCCACTGCTCCACTGTCTCTCGCTTTCACCTGGATCTTATTGATTCTTCTAGGCTGGCCAGCCAGCCAGCCAGCCCCAGGGATCCCCCTGTCTCTCCCTCCCTACCACTGGAATTCCAAGAATTACAACTGTGCACCACCATGCTTGGTGTGTGCAGCGGTGGGACAGACGTCAACCCCAGGGAACATTCTTCAGGGGCCATTTGCTTTGTTTTTTGTTTTGTTTTGTTTTGCTTTTTATTCAAGACCTCTCACTGGGACCTGGGACTTGTGGTGAGCCCCAGATATCCATCCATCTCTGTCTTTCCAGCATAGGGGCTTGCTCTGGGGAGCAAACTCAGGCAGGCCTTGTGCGCATAGCAAGTACTTTGCTGACTGAACTGTCTTCCACAGTTTGGAACAGTCTTTAAACATTTTCAATCTTCCTTGGGGAGAAAAGACACAATTTTTAAAATAAGCAGAGAATAGGAATTCAAAGGTTCCATCACATGGCATGGCTAAATGTTCAAGGATATGGGAATGCTAACCATTCTAATTTGGCCATGACACATTGCGTGTACATGTATTGTATTAAGTGATCAGTCTGTACTGCATTAGCAAATAAGGTTAGGGGTTGTGCTGCTGGTCTTACGTCAGCTTGACATACAAACTAGAGTTACCTGAAAAAGGGAACCTCAACTGAGAAAATGTCTCCTAAAGATCCAGCTGTAAGGCATTTTCTTTATTAATGATTGATGGGGAAGGGCCCAGCCCATTGTGGGTGGTTCCATTCCTGGGCTGCTGGTCCTGGGTTCTGTAAGAAAGCAAACTGAATAAGCCAGAGGAAATAAGCTGCACCCACCTTGGCCTCTGCAACAATTCCTGCCTCCAGGTTCCTGCCCTGTTTGAGTTCCTGTCCT